CGATAGTTTGGCCAAACTATCGTTTAGAATCCTCGACGGATTCTCCACACGGATTCTTACTTTTGCTCACATGGATTGACATTTCTCAGCACACACAGACCCAACAACAGTCACCACTAGCTTCAAAGACGCCTACAGGTGTGGTGCGTACAGCCTTCAAGTTCTGGTGATGACCCGACAATCATGGAGGGAGAACTCTGTGGTGATGTGGTGAGAGGTCTGTCTTTTGGTCGAAATCAGGGGGGGGGGGGTATGCCCGTCCAAAAATATCCAACTATGGGGAGCCATAAGAGTCAGCCTGAACCGGAGGATATCAGGTAGTTGAGCCTCATACCAAGTGCGGAAGATGGGAGGCGTTGAAAAAAACTCAGAGAACAGTAGAAGAAGGAGAAGGCTGGGGGTGCGGAAAGAAAGGACGGCAACTGTTCGTACCGGAGAAGCGTAGTGGCGGCTGCCGCTTCTGTCTCGATCTTTCTTTTTAGTGGAGAAAGTGTTTTCAGAAGATCCATTGACGGCCGTGCTCTCAGGAGTTGGTGTTGAGGATGTTGGAGGAGATAGGAGTTTGACGAGAAGGGCACGAGTGGCAGCGCGCTACAGAAAGATCCTGTCTGTCCTAAATGTTTATCTCGCCGCATATTTAAGTGCGGGTGCACGCGTGCACCGCAACTGTAAAAAAAAAAATTATCGCTAAAAGATCCCGCCGCATTTTTGCGTGACGGATGACGGAGAAAGAAGAAAGAAGTTTATGCACAAATGAAGATAGATGTACGTACACAGGAAGCACAGCAGTTAGCGCGTGAAGGAAGGACTTACTTGTTGTGCTGAGTGACACGCGCACGAACGTTCGTGTTGAACACACCTGCACTCTATGCCCATGCGCACCATGTACCGCAACATGTCATTTTGAAAAAAAGCGTGCTGCTGTAAGAATCCACCCGACCGAAGGGACGCTGCGTGATTGATTGAGTTGACGGCCCATCCACGCTGGCACGCAGTCAGAAAAGAACGGGCTTCGTGATTGATTGGTGGACGGAGTTGAGCCGCGCTCACACCCGCCGAGTCGGACTCGTAAGAGAGCGCCGGCACGCTGCGGCTCGGCCTCGCGCCCTCCTCTCAGCGCGCGGAAAAACCCCGCGCTGCGCAGCGGCAGCGGGCTGTGGAAAAATCCGGAAGAAATGCGCCCCGTGGGGCTCGAAGGCGCCGAAAAAGTGTTCTAGGCGCACGAGAGAGCAGCATTCAAATCACTTGGATTCAGAGTTCAGATCTACGAAGACTCAACTTCGTTATTTGTACTTACTTCTATCTGCATTGACCAAACATCATCAATCGGCGGGCACACAACAACAGCATATCATCTACGTTCAGATTGCAATATCTGGATGTTTCTAGAAAAAAAGTGAACCCGCCGTGGATGACATCACATTACATGTCGATCAGGGATGTTTGGCCAATCAGAAATTTCCTTTCAAAAAAATTGGCCAATCAGAAAACTGCGGGCACCATTTCTCTCTCTTGAAAAAAATGACCAATAGACAAGAGCCATAACATAGTCCTACTTTATCGTGTGTGACATATGTTGTCCATGAGTCAAGGTTCACAGTACAAGTAGAAGACGCCCCATGCTAATGGGAAGCGTGGTAAGAGAGTGAGAACAACGAGCGATCTCGATCCAAAGAGAGAGAGAGAGAGAAACGCTGCCAGAAAATCCCCAGTGGGGTAAGGGATGGTTGCTCTTGAACTTGTACCAAAGCGAGAGAGAGAGACAAGGTGCCCGCAGTTTTCTGATTGAAGTTTCGGGCAAGAGACGCTGCAGGAGGCCTGGGCGAACTGTCGACGGCTTAACCCTTCACAAACCACACCGTGATTTGGATTTACGTTCGAACAGATATTGTCGAAATTTCGCACGGAACTGCACTGCCATGTGCGATTCACGTAGTTTGCTCCGGTTGATCCAGGCGCTTCTGCCTTCAATGAACCAGAATACACATGTCTGACCCTCGCAAGCACGCTAAAATATACCGAAAGAATGGGCGTACTGAGTACTATTCAATGATTATATTCAAAATGGTCTTCGGTTCGGGACGAAAAATCCCCAACACCGTGGTTCGCACAAGCTCAAGAGCAACAATCCCATACCCCATACCCCACTGGGGACTTTCGGGCAGCGTTTCCTGTCGCGGACAACTTATCACGACGACACTTTCTCCCCTCCCCCCCCCCCGGTCTCTCTCCCACCCCCTCATCTTTGCATTACCGCGAACATACATTCGACTGTAAAAGAATATCGAAACACACACACACACGTCGTCCCCTCCCCTCTCCCGAGACAGTGCCGGTACAGGTACTTTCCATGCACAGCCTGGACTACAAACCAACGCCCCAGACTGCCCGCTTGGACACGCTTCGCTTGTAGACCACTCTATTCAGGTGTGTTTTCATATTTTTACAAAGTAAACATAACCTCACAGAAAGACGACCCGTATTTTCATCTTTGTTGGTCAGATGTTGAATATCCCGCCAACCCCCGTCCCGCGCACCCGAACAACGCTCATGAATAGACTAAACCTTTGCTTCATCTGTCACTGCGCACATAGACTGTCCTGATACGTAAATGTTGAAGTCGCTGACAAGAAATCGATTAGCTCGTTTACACAGTGTGGACGGAGTTTACGCAAAATCGGGGGTGATTCGAAGAAGAAGGAGGAGGGGGGCTTGCACATTCGGCCACTCCCACGACTGCAGGAAAACACTACAATATTGTAGCATCGTGCGTCGGGACGCACCCCCTACCTGCTAGCGAGAGGGGGCTGAACGAGCGGCGAGCGCACTTCTACTTGCAGCACACTACCGAATGAAGCTGCATCCACTTTCCTTCCGCACACAGAACGAACACGGACGGTCGTAGAGGGACGCTCAAACATATTTTGAAGGACTTGCGTCGAACTTGGCCATCTCTAACATGAAGGAAGACACGCAGTCAACCGTGGCTTAGAGCCGGCCGGCAGGGGTGGTACGTGTGCGGCTGGTTCCCGGTAACTACATCCCCTTTTTCAGCATCCGGCAGATTTCTTCAATCGCAACCAACCCCTCTCTGTGTCACCACCGTAAAAAACACGAAACCAAAGGTGTTCACAAAATATCTCTAAGAGTAGCACCCACATATGGGCATGTATGAAGCGTGCGCACGACACTCCTCGGAACCAAGGGGTTCGAAGTAGTTTTCAACAAACGCATTGAACCCAATCAATTGATCCAACACGATCAGGGTAAAATACAATCCAATGGGATGTATAGTGCATTCCAAGCACCGAACGCCGCACTGGGCAAACAGCATGAAGTTCACCAACCAAGATTGGGACACTGAAGGCCGACGAAAAATACACGCAACACCAATGAAAGGCATACAAAAGTTCAAAACAAACATCAAGCCAACTGAAGTGATTTACTGCTGTACTTTAAATTTCGCAAACTTCCCGACATTATTCTCTTTGCTATCAATGACAAGCAGCAAGGGAGGTTGGCTTAACACATCCTCAGTGAGAATAAGGTGCATGCTCTATCCTCTCTTATGAGGGTCTGAGGGTGATGCGCGAACGAACATAGTCCCTCACGTCATTTCCATAACATACGGTACATGACATGTAGCCTACGCTAACAAAAAACAACTTCTCGAAAAGCGAGAAGACGAAGGGATAATATGCATTCAACCTTGAACAAAGACACCCTCAAGGAGGAGGCCCACCGTCACCACGGCCGCCGCCTCGACCAACACCCACACCGACGCCAGCGATGCCGCCATCAACAAGAGCACCGGCATCGGCCCCGCCATCGCCCTTCCCACCGGCCTCGATATTCCCCTCCCGGGAGCGCCACCGCCGCCGCCCCAAACGGATCCCCAAAGGAGTGCGCATCACCACGTCCGGTGGCGGTTGACGCAGACGACGCGACGAGGGAGAGGCAGCGGAAGAAGAAGACGACGACGACGAGCAGTGGCCACGGTCGTCGCGATCGCGGGGGAAGATAGCCCCCGCCTCCGCTACGCCCTTGGGATCAACGACGCGGCTGCCTTGCAGAGCAGCGCGAGCGGGATCACCAACGGCGCCGTCGTTCCCCGCCCCTTCTGCGGCGGTAGCCTCCCCCTCCGGGGTTATCGCCAACGCCGCTGCCCGTCCCTCCTCCACCGATACCGCTGCTGCCGCCGCCGCTGCCTCCAACGCAACACTTGCTTGGCTTCCCCTCACGGAGCGCAACCGGCGTCGGAACATCGCCCCGACGCCGCTCGTTTTGGCCAACCCCTTACCAGCGATGCCACTGCGGCTTCCCCTCTTGCGCCAGCCACTATCGACGGAGGGGGCCTTCGCGTGGCCTCCTGTAGCCTGAGCTGCGACGCCACTACCACCATCACTCCTAGCACCACCACAGGCGTCAACGCCGGCGGCCGTGCTACTACAACGGGAGACGCCTCCTTCGGCTCTGGACACTTGAGATCCCCCGCCCCCCTCCTCGTCCTCCTCCTCGTCCTCCTCCTCGTCTTCGCCCCCCTCCGCCCCCCCACCCTCCTCCGATGAGCTTCCGGAATCGCCGCCCGGGGTCGAACAACGGCCCGAGCCGCGGGCGATGTGGCCTCGCCTCGTTGCCGTTGTCCCTCGCCCCCCCACCTCCCCATCCCCGCCTCGGGGAGATCTCCGTAGAAGACTCTTCGGCAACTGCCCCGGTCTCGGCACCAGCTGGCGGGAGGACTTTTCTTCGTCCCCGGGAATACGCCCGAAGACTCCTACCGGCTTGAGCTGTGACAACCCGCTCCTGGAATGGTTTTTCGCAGGAAATGGGGTATAAGGGGGAGGATTATGATCTTGCCGATCAATGTTACGCGCAAGCTTCGCCTTTTCGGGATGGGGCCACTCAGATCTTCGATTCTACAGTAGGTATCTTCCCTTTTTTCTCGGCGGCACTTTCAAATTGAATATATGCTTTAGGTCGAGGGCTATTTGCCTTCCGTAACGTCTCATTCCGGATAACATCACGGGCTCAAGGGCGGAGAAAGCCGAACAAGAGTGTGGTAGTAGTCCAAGGTGGAAGCTGATTGAAATCGCTGTTGGAACTCTTCTCGTGTCAACAAATTGAACTGTCTCAAACGAAAAAACAGGGTTTCACCGGCGTTGGGGACATCATGGAAAAAGGGGCTGTACAGCTTTCGATTTCGTGTACAAAGGGAGCGAAGAGCCTACGGGGAACGGAAGGATCGTACGGCGGGCGGTGAGCAAGGTACTCGCGTGCTCGAGTATTTCTCCTTTCAACATCGCTCCCCCTCCCTCACGCGCACCTGCGCAGCATGTGCGCCTCTTGTGGGTATTCTACACCTGTCCGGGACATCCGCCGGTTTGTTTGATTTTGTTTCCACGAGGTCCATACGTACTGCATCTTGCCTGGTGGTATGGCGAACCATGCGCCAGATGCACTTGTGCATGAACCTTTTCCAGTTGGTCATCTTTCCCCGCCTCGCGTACGGGGCCACCAGCACCTGCTAACGCGGGCAACGCGAAGAGTCAGTGCTGGAGACTCCCAGACAATTTAGTGAACACGCGGTCGTCATCCGCGCACGCACGCGGTGAACCAAGTGTGTTTCTCAACGCACGGTCCAGAATATGATTCCGTTCTTGGTGTCCCTCACTGTAATTCACGGCCCGCAGCTTTTCAGCCTGGTAGGGGTCCCTGTTTAGTGCCGGGGTGTGCACCGAAATTTCACCTGCACTAAACCGGACCCCGGCACTGTTCAAAGTACAGAACGACTTGGTATCCCGGTGTGTGCGAGCCGAAAACACCGGCACTAATCAACCGGCACCAAACAGGGTACTCTACTGTATCTCCAATCCGTGGTCACACAGAAGGGGTCCTCCCCGTGGGGCCCCTTACGCACCCCTGCTGCGGTGCTTGCCTTGGACTATGAACGCGAGAAGATTGCAGCAGTCCCTCGAAGTGTACAGATGCTGCACGCACAATATTGGGGGTGTAAATACATAGACCAAGAGCTATTTTAAATAATCGATCTTCAACTAAGGATTCAATTCAAAGTGTAAATCTGGTGTATCGACACCCACCGGGAATTCGCTTAAGCGAACGAGCTTGTATCCGGTGGTGCTGACGTTGAGGCGAACCGCCCCGAGCCGGACGTACTTGAAAAACACGCCGTTGTCCTCAAGATCTTGACCTCCTTCGCCGTTGTTCTCCTGCCGTTCGAGATTGAGCCATACATGATGCTATCCATATGCCTGGTTTTCATCGTTTCTGTATTTTGTCACTGCGAACTGGCGGAACATAGGCTACGAACAAACAGCGGCAGCATGCGACAAGTGCACCGTCGATGATAACAACCAACGGGATAACTCCCAGGATTCTTCGAATGGGGTGGACCTACCGAAACATGATCTCACCTGCCCACCAGGCTCCGCCCCCGCTGCTGCCGCCGCCCCCGCTGGCGCCGCGTTGGTGGGGGACGAAAATGATGTCGTTCCAGCTCCTCGCCTTCCCAACAGAAGAAGGGCGTGGCTTTCTTCCGACCCTTGCCGGTCCAACAGAACTGCCGCACCACCACTACCGACGCTGCCCGCGGCATCACCATCAGCAGCAGCACGTGTGGACACGAGTGAGCTGGGAGGCGCCGCATTGCCGTTCCCCCCGCTCCCTCTGCTGTTGGTGCTGCTGGTGGCCTTCGGGGACGTTTTTCGGGACGGAAGAAGAAGCCTCCGCCCCTTCGACCTCGGCTTGTCCTTGTTCTCCTCCTCTGCCTGGTAGAAGTGAGAACAGATGCATTGTCCTCGTTGTTGTTGTTGTTGTTGTTGGTGGTGGTGGTGGTAGTGGTGGTGGTGGTGATGGTGTTGTAGTTTGCGGGTATTGTTTGGGTCTTGAGTAAATATTGCATGGCACCCATCGGTGACCTTGCACCCATCGGGGTTTTATGGCACCAGGGTGCGCACAATGAACGCAAGGACGGCATGATTTTGTTGCAACGGTGTTCTCGCCCCCGGTGCGGTATGAACCATACAAAACCTGCACAGCGTAGAACGTAAATTTGCACGTTTCCTCAAGGTCCCGGAGCGACGCTCCGGGCCACGTTTGGAACTTCATGGAACGAACGGCTGTGAGCGCCGGTAGGTATCAACTTGGGCGCCAACCCGTTCATGGACATCGTACCGTCGAGATGTACGTGTAGAAAAATCGGTACATCACATGCACACCCAACCAAGCAACCGGGGTTGCCTGCGCACCGTAGAAGGGCCAAACTGGTGTGTACCAGGTATTGTTTCGTACCGGGAGGGGGGGGGGGGGGGGGGGGGGG